TTGAAACCGGGAGCACAGCCGGTGAAACAACGGCCGTATCGATATTCGCCGATCATAAACGAAAAAGTGCAGATAGAAATGGACAAACTGCTGTTGGCAGGGGTCTTGCGACGATCCTACAGCAATTGGGCAAGTTCCTTGGTCGTGGTCGCAAAAGCTAATGGAGGAGTACGGTTAACTGTGAATTACAAAAAAGTGAACCAAATGAGCGTTATACCGAAACTACCGATACCAGTAGTAGAGGACATTCTGGCGGATCTGAAGTCGGCAAAAATATTCAGCACTCTGGATTTGATCAGTGGATTTTTCCAGTGTTGTATTGAAGAGGACAGCATCCCGATCACTGCAGTTATTACGGCCACCGGTTTATATGAATTCATGGCTATGCCGCAAGGATTGTCGAGTAGCCCAGGGTGGTTCCATTCAGTCATGCAACGCGTGTGTGATGGGCTGGAGAGGGTGCGATTATTCATTGATGATGTTATCGTATACTCCCGAAATGGTGCAGAACACGTGCAGGATCTGGAGAGGTTTTTCGAGCGCATGACAAAGTTCAATCTGAAGCTGGCGCCGAAGAAAGCACAATTGGGGGTGAAGGTGGTAACGTTTTTGGAACATCAAGTAACGGCTGAAGGAATCGAGCCATGTCCGAAGAAGGTGAAGCCTATGTTGCAAATGCCGATGCCAACGAATGTCAGTCAGTTACGGTCAATCTTGGGGAGTCTGTCCTACTATCGGAAATTTTTAAAGGGGATGTCTGCAAAATTGCATTCAGTCACGGCGTTGTTGAAGAAGGATGCAAAATTTGCGTTCACGGCAAAACATGCCGAGGTGATACAAGAAATGAAGGACAAACTATCCAGTCCGGAAGTGTTGGCATTTCCTGATTATGAAGGAGCAATAACAGGGAAAAGAAAGTTTAGGTTAATCACTGATGCGTCCATATCTGGACTTGGGGCAGTTATTGAACAAGAGCAAGAGGATGGCACAGTTCGACCCTTGTGTTATTTGAGCAGGTCAACGTACCCCAATGAAAGGCGGTGGAGTGCAACAGAGTTGGAGTGTGGGGCGATTGTTTGGGCTATCAAGAAAAACCGAACATTGTTTTACGGCATTCCGTTTCAAATATACAGTGATCACCAACCTCTACGCAATTTAGAGAGCTTGGCGGAAAAAAATAACAGGGTTCAAAGGTGGTTTGATTTCCTGTCAGCGTATACATATGAGCTGATTTATCGGCCGGGCAAAGCAAATGGCAATGCAGATTGTATGTCTCGTTTACCCTTGCCGCCGATGGAGGAAGATGCATCGCCCGAAATGCGATTAACTGATCCGTCCGATCTGGATGTGTATATGATAGGTGCAAGCGGAGTGATTCCTGCGAGAATGGGTCCTGTCTTGGGTGGGCGAAAACGCCCGACGCAAGCCGACCCTCGCAAGAATTTTGTGTTGGGGGAAGATGACCATCAGCCGTTCACGACCGATGAAGAGGCAGATAGGACGTGGCAGGTGATTCAGCAGCACAGAGAAACGATGGCTCTAAGGGTGGAGGATGAACCGAAACACTATGCGTTGAAAGACGAGACTCCACTGGTAGATCCAGGGAAAATGGTGGTTAGTGGGCAATGGGAATCAGGTTTAATACTGCATGCAGTCCCGATGACAGAGGTGGGAAGATGTTTGTTGGGAATGGGAGTTATCAAAAAGCAACGAGACAAGAGAAAGAGAGTCATGGTGATCAACTCAAATGAAGGAGGAGGCTCAGCAGGTGGTGGATCTGAAGCTGAACCAGTGATGCGATCTCAAGGGTCACAATTAGAGGGTTGGAACAGCAAGGAAGCCAAAGAATTTGGAGAACGGTTGTGTGAAAAAACGGCCAGCGATTGGGTCGAAGCGCAATACAAAGACCTGACAGCAAAGGCAGCACTACAGCTAATTACAGATGAGGTTGAAGTACATAAAATAGGGGAAAATGACATACCTGAAGGGGTGGATATTGATGATGTTAAACGGTTGGTCGCGCAAGGAACGATCATGGTGTTGGCTGATTCACGTAAATTGCTGGTTCGTCGTGCGACGCGTGAACCATCAAACAGGCCAAACCGAAATCCGGGACAGTTCGACAGGCTGTTGGGGGATGAACCTGTAAGGACATACGTGCCTCTGATGTTACGACCTTGGGTGATGGACTGCGCACACAAAGAAGCAGTACACCTAGGTGAGAAGGTGACGTTAAGCATTTTGCAACGATTGTATTGGTGGGTGGGAATGGCGGAGAGTGTGAGATGGTGGTGTCGTAGGTGCTATTCTTGTCAATTCAGAAAAACACCGAGGTACACGAACCTATGGCCATTGGTGTCATTACCTTTGCCAAGTAGGCCTGGACAGATGGTATCTTTTGACTATTTGGGTCCATTGCCGAAAACGGAGAATGACTGTGAGTACATTTTTTTGGTGGTGGATATATTCAGTAGGCATGCGGAAGGGTACTCTCTGCAGAAAGGTGAAAATAATGCAAAAGGATTTGTGGCAATCTTGGTGAATGAATACATACCAAGATGGGGTTGTCCACACACATTCTTGTCGGATAGAGGACCGGAATTTGCTACAGGTGTGGCGAAAGGGGTGTATAAAATGCTGGGATCAATCAAGAAGTTCACTAGCTCCTATCATCCCCAAACGAATGGAATGGTGGAAAGGTTAAATCATACTATGTGTCAAATGTTGGCGCATCTGGTGGCGGATAATCAAAAAGATTGGGACGAAATGTTGCCACACGCAATTTCGGCGCACAATAATAACGTGAGCAGAGGAACAGGGCTTGCACCAAATATGGTACACATTGGGCGGTATCCAAGACTGCCGATGACCATTTTGGAAAGAAGGGGTACGAGGGGGATACAAGGGTTAAAAAGGGATCAACTTGACTATTTGGATCTAGTCAGAGACCGACAAGTGAAGGCATATGAGTTGGTCCGTGAGGAGGATGAGAAGCAGCATGAAGGAATAAGCAGATAGGGGAAGTAATTGGCAAAAGAGAAAAGTTTGAGAAGGGCGATTGGGTCCTAGTGTATGACGATAAAAGTACAATTTCAGGAGGGGGAGAACACGTGTTAAAATCGGCACTGGATTACAATAGA